GTCCTTCATTGATCGCAATTTGAACTTAACTGTAATGGGGATTGGGGGTGGGGGCTTAGAATGCTGAACTAAAAGAAGCAAGAAAATACTGACATTCTACACACTAATATTGAAGAAAATTGGCTTTTTTTTTTTTTTTTTTGGTACTTCACTTGGTGAGTTTGTGTCGTGGCCAGGCTTTATCAGATAGGAAGTACAACTGCGGATGTGTTCCGCACTAGCAGACACAAAACGTTTATAATGTTCAGTATAATGGCACATTCTTCACATTTCTGAACGGGAATGGGCGGGAAAAGGTCAGGTCATAACCGACATGGGAGCTAAGTTTCTATATTCCGATAGAGAACAGGGTGAACACGGTATGGTTGTTTCATCTTGACTAAAGCAGTTTTATGTGTTTTTTTTAATCAAAGCCATTCAGCTACAGTACAGGTTATTGCTGATTCTGAAACACCGGACTTTTGAAGAAAGAAAGATAGGATATAGTTATGTGCCTGTATATAGCTTTAAGAGTTAGTGATAATATGCAGCAGGTTACAAGAGAAATTTGAAGCTGTTACAGCGGTTAGTTCCTTAACTAATCACGTGTGTTAATGAAACGTCTTGTGTCTTTACTGAAATGTTTCTGGATAGGGATATTGGAGTCCTCTCGATATAACTTCAATTTACCCATTCATATTGGACAGCAGCAGACGTCGTAACCGTAGGGTGATCAAGTGTAATTGTTCTGTGTGTCTGGATGCGGATTTTCGGGCGAGATCTTGCTGGATTCACATCCGAAATAGAATTCCTCATTGAGTCAAATTGGGTGTATCTTTGAAGTTGCAATCTGAATAACAAAAATGATGCATTAGCAATAGATCAGGTTAAGTGCTCAGAAGTGGCATAACATTTTTTTCCGGCCGGCACGGCTTTGGTGTTAACATAGCCTGATTTTTTTAAAGGCATCAGATAGCATTCAGACATTTTTAGGAATGAAATGTGGCCATACATTGAACCGGCAACCTTATATACAGTGTGTCGTTGCTGGCATTTGTAAAAACCTAATGTTTCACATCTTAACGGCAGTATCTATTGTGGCCATGAGACTACATTTTAACAATCTGTATAATGACCTGGTGAATCTAAGAACTCTACTGGTGGATTAAAAAAAAAAAAATACAAATAAAAAACAAAGTTGCTTCATTTAGGCATTAAAACACAGAACACTACTTTGATAGATAATTAGGAGAGAGAGAGAGAGAGAGAGAGAGAGAGAAAGAGAGAGAGAGAGAGAGCGCGATGATGATAGTGTGGGAGAGAAAGACTTTACAAAAACCTAAGTGACTGTTTATTTATAATGTACACATCATCTTTCAGATCGCTGGTGAAAACACACAGACATCATGGGTGTCAGAGACGGTTTCGCAACCACAGGCATTATTGTCAAAATTGCCTTTGCCATCGTGTTCATTTCTACATTTTGCAAGTAAGCTGATTTCTCTGGTTACCGTTTTACTGTTAGTCAGAATTTCACCTTCTATAAAGTTTCATTATTTGCAAGAGATTATATACTGACTATTTAATGGCAACATACTTCTCTATAATAACATATATTGTCAGTAAATTTGCCTAATTTTTTTTAATTGACTCAGAGCTGTTGTGGTGTAACGGCTATACGCTCACCTGCGGATTCGAGGGTCGTGGGTTCAGTTTCTGAAGGACCGGGCTTTTTTTTTTTCTTCTCAAAAATGGCTTTAGCTCCCAGGTAGACCAAGCCATAATTGAGTACCAGGTAACATCCTGGGAAGTAAAGGCAGCTGGTGTGATGTTGACTACATCATCCGACGATTGCCGATTGGTCAATGAAATATAGGTCTACCCCTAATGCCTAAATGCATGAAAGCGTGCAAAAGGCCCTTTACTCTAAATGAATGTTTTTGTGTGGTTTTTTTGACTTTCTTCAGATTCTCTCCTTTCTCTATCTTCTCCGTCTCTCACTCCTCCCCTCCCCCTCCTTCATTCTCTCTCTGCCATTTTCCTTATGACCTTCTCTCGGCTCTCTCTCTCTCTCCTCTTTGTCCCTCGTTCCTCACCCCTCCCCATTATCTCTCTGCCTTTCACTCATGTCCTTCTATCATGTCCTTCTATCATGTCCTTCTATCATGTCCTTCTATCATGTCCTTCTATCATGTCCTTCACTCATGTCCTTCACTCATGTCCTTCTATCATGTCCTTCTATCATGTCCTTCTATCATGTCCTTCTATCATGTCCTTCTATCATGTCCTTCACTCATGTCCTTCACTCATGTCCTTCTATCATGTCCTTCTATCATGTCCTTCACTCATGTCCTTCACTCATGTCCTTCACTCATGTCCTTATATCATGTCCATCTATCATGTCTTTCTATCATGTCCTTCACTCATGTCCTTCTATCATGTCCTTCTATCATGTCCTTCTATCATGTCCTTCACTCATGTCCTTCACTCATGTCCCTCACCCATGTCCTTCACTCATGTCCTTCTATCATGTCCTTCTATCATGTCCTTCTAACATGTCCTTCACTCATGTCCTTCTATCATGTCCTTCTATCATGTCCTTCTATCATGTCCTTCTATCATGTCCTTCACTCATGTCCTTCTATCATGTCCTTCTATCATGTCCTTCTATCATGTCCTTCTATCATGTCCTTCACTCATGTCCTTCACTCATGTCCTTCACTCATGTCCTTCTATCATGTCCTTCTATCATGTATGTCCTTCTATCATGTCCTTCTATCATGTCCTTCTATCATGTCCTTCTCTATTCTTCGTCCCTCACCCCTCGCCCCCACCCACCCAGTTCTCGCTATGCCTTTCCTTCACATCCTTCTCTCTCCTCCCTCTTCCTCTTCCCCTCCTTATCTGAGAGCAATGTTTGTGCGGTCCTGGGCAGGTCTTACAACAACGGAAACAATGGTAAACTATTTCATAGTAGCTAGACTTGCCTCTGTTACCATGGAGATAAACATGGAGGCAGAAGATGGTCTAGAACAATTTACTGCCAAGTGTCAGATTTTGGTATAAGCTAAATAAGCTTCAGCTTTGGGCCTTACATTTTACAGCAGCCTCACAATTTACAGGGCCTCACAATTTGCAGGGCCTAAGGATTTACAGGCTCTCACAGTTTACAGGGCCTCACAATTTACAGGGGCCTCACAGTATTTGCTTTTTCGTTTTTATCACAACGGCGTCACTGGTTTGGGCGTTGCGAGTCCGACTCGTAATTCCAACAGACTGCGATCGAAACCCACTGATGGCTGCGTGGATTTTTATCATGGTATGGAGCTTCGCTAGTCGACTCAGTCCACAATTGGTACCAGGATGGCTTTCCTGTCAAAGCAGAGACGGCCGGAGTAATGCTGACCACATTACCCACCTAGTGCCGATTGGTCAGTAAAAATATGGGATGCTCTTCCCAAATGACAGATGCACCTAAGGCTTGAAAAGACACTTAATTTTTTTTTTACAAATGCAATCTTTAAATATATTTTAATGTAATTTTTTTGTTCTATATGTATGTATAAAACTGGCTGTCACCCAAAATTAACAATAAATAATGAAGAAATTGAAAATGTCACAAACTTTGAATATCTAAGCTCTTTAATAAACAGCAATGGAGACTGTTCAACAGAAATTAAAAGTAGGATGGCCTTGGCAATGCAAAGATTGAACAGCCTTAAAAGTCTATGGTTAAGCACCAGAAAGGAGATAAAAATTAGAATTTTAAGAGCATGCATCTTCCCTGTGGCTACATACAGATGTGAGTCGTGGACAATCTCTCAGTCCTTAAGAAAGAGAATAGGGCCTTTTGAGCTGAAATGCTATAGAAAGATTCTCAGAATATCTTGGACAAAGAAGAGGAAAAATATTGACATCTTAAAAGATCTAAACATAAAGGAAGATTGGCTAATAAACAGCATCCTTTCTCGGAAGCTAAAATATTTTGGTCATATCAAGCGCCACAACGGATTGGAAAAAACTATAGCAGAAGGCATGGTACCAGGAAGGAGGGACAGGGGCCGACCGACACGAAGATGGGCACAGGATACAAGTGACTTCTTGAGTGTGAAAGTATATGAGGCGGGAGAACTGGCGAGAGACCGAGTTTCTTTCAGGCAGACTGTGATGAGAGCGACGCTCTGCAAAGGACCTGTTACATGATGATGATGATATGTATGTATGTCAGCGTCTGTGGCTTGGGCGTTGCGAACCCGCTTCTTAATGCCAGGGTGGCGGGTTTGATCCCTGCTGCGGACGGTTTGTCTTGCGATGGTTTCGGCCGTGGTACCGAGAGCCGACCGTCTAGGGAGCAATGGCAAACTACTGAACGTAAATTTTCCTAGAAAACTCATAATAGCCAGAAAGTGCTGGGTTGGTTCTGCAATGTCCTGTAAAGGATACGCAACTATATAAAAAAGAGAGAAATATTTGTATAATTTAGAGCAGTTGTTCTCAACATGTGGGTCACGACCCTTTTTGTGTGTGATTAACCAGCCTTTAACAGAGGTCGCCAAAGACCATCAGAAATCACATATTCGCTGAAGTTAAGAAGTAGCAACGAAAATAATGTTATGATTTAGGGTCACCACAACATAAAGGACTGTAATAAAGGGTCGCGGCATAAGAAGGTTGAGAGCCACTGATTTAGAGCCTTTGATTCAGAGGTACAGGTGAGGTCTTGGGCGTTGTGCTACGACACCCCCCCCCCTTTTTTTTTGTTTTTAACCACCTACAGCTATAGCACGTACGACTGCATGTGTCCTCAAGATGGCCGTGAGCTATAGAAAGCTATTCAACGGTGTTTTATCTGATCTTCGAAAGTCCCACGTGGAGATAAAATGAGGTCTTGGACGTTGTGTTACGACCCGCCCCCCCCCCCCCCCTCACCCCACGCCCCTTCACCACTTACAGCTATAGAAAGCTATTGGATACTGTCTTATCTGACTTCAGTAGCTTTGTTCCTGCCTCTTTCAAGGTGTATGTCTGTCCACGGCCAGCTCCAGATTTTTATAATTAGAGAAGGGCGTGGTCTGTCATTTCCGCGCTTCTTTCATTTTCTCATAACATGTGACATTGTTTTTTTTATTGTGTTTTACAGCTGGCTAGCCTTCACCACTAACTCCTGGTACAGAAATGACAGTGGCGACTACCTTGGATTGTGGAGAACATGTACAGCTGGTGTAATAGGTGCCTGTTCCCCCACCGATGGATCTGCTAACAGTAAGTACTCTTTGATTTATTTACAAATTCAGCATCAGTTAGTTACACATCTTTTACAGGACGTAGCAGAATTAAGCCCAGCAATGTTTGGCTGTTGTGCTTTTTTTCTAGTCATTTTTATGTCCAGTAGTTTGTAATTCTTAGGCGTTGCGAACGCGCTTCGTAATGTCGGGGTGCCGGGTTCGATCCCGGCTGCGGGCCTTGCGCCTTGCGTTGGCTTCGACAGTGTTATCAAGAAACCGACCCTCCAGAAAGCAAAGGCAAACTACTGGACGTAAACTGATGCATTAAATGCGTGTTTACGCAAAGTTCAAGTTCTTTAACAAGACCAAAGACTAGAAGTGGACGAACAATCAAAACATTTCCGATGTAGTTTACAACCGGTAAACGCCAAAGAGAAGAAGAGATTGTCCGCTAAGGACGTTTGGACGAGATTGCCCTGTTGATATTACCGGTGAAGTTGAAACGAAAGTGTAATTCACAAAACGGAGGCTGATAATGTGAAGGCCCGCGTAGATTTTGAGGCTCTACGCTGTATATTGTTTAGTCTAGGCCAAACTCTTTAGTGAGTACCAGGTATAGTCATGGGAAGTAAAGACTGTCGGTGTTATGTTGACCACATCACCCACCGACTTTGGATTGGCATATAAAATATATGTCTAGCCCTATGTGCCCAGTACGCCTGAAGGTGTGGAAAAAGGTCCTTCATTTTCTCTACTAGGCCTAAGCCTGGCTCTGGCAACGATGCTTGATCTTAGTGTCATGTCTGTCTACAATCATCTGTCTCGTGTACTGACAATCATTTCTTCCCTTTCTGTTGACTCCATGTTCTCCGGTCACTCTCTCCCACTTTTGTTTTCTGATGACGTGACTGTTGAATGTTATTCCCCCTGTGGGTTCCAGAGCCCCGTTTTAGGGAAAGAGAATAGGTCCACTGCTGCCATAACAATTATGCCAGAAAATGTGACTAATTAGGGGTTTAGGAAATAGGATGCTTCAGGCCAAAAGGCACTGATGTAGCAACTTAGCTGTAAACTATAACATAACGTGTCAACCGCCCTTTTGATGATGGTTAATGAAGAAGAAGAAGAAGAAGAAGAAGAAGAAGAAGAAGAAGAAGAAGAAGAAGAAGAAGAAGAAGAAGAAGAAGAAGAAGAAGAAGAAGAAGAAGAAGAAGAAGAAGAAGAAAATGTTTTAATGAATATTTGTTTTTAATAATTGTAGTTCTATTATTTATTTTTCTATTCCTTCAGCAAAATATGGCGTGGTTCAAGCGTTTTCAATCATTGGATTTCTATCTCAAAACGCGGGATTCCTGCTAATCCTCCTGTACATGTTCAGAAACAACTACAGAGGAAACACTGAACTGCGCGTGGCCTCAGCCATCCTGTTGATACTCTCAAGTAATACTTTACTATAATTATTATCGTCGTTAATACTTTACAATGTCATTTCTTATCATTCGAAATTAGATTACTTTAGGTAAGTTTACTTCATTCTTTGGTACACATTATGCAAATCACCGCATCGTGCCTGTTACCTCAAGCCATCTTTTTTCGCGCTAAATTTGTTGCAGGGGACTGTTCTGTCGTATCTGCTTAATTTTTTTTTAGTGTGCGGTGAGGCAGGAACGCTGGACGAATTGTGTAGCTAATCATTCTGTGCGTGTGTGCGTTAAGTCTGCAGGATCATGTTCTCAGTCCTAAGTTCTCAAAGTGTTAAAGTCAGCATTTCATTGCACGGGATTGATCCATTATGGCTGGGTCTTACTTCGCAAAATGGACAGTCAATAGCACCGCATAAAGCACGAGCTTCGTTGCTTTAGCTGCACTCTCCGGTGATCTTTGTAAAAATTAAACACGGGAACCGAACGACACTGTTCGTGAAAATCTCACAACCTTCAGAGTGCAGGATAATTGGCTTGTCCACAGGGAGACCCACCCTCGCCCCCCTCTTGCCCAACTCTGTTAAAAATGTATTTGACCCTCCAGGATTGCAGTCGCTAGAATTCACATCCCAAATGTGAAATTCCAACAGGTACCCAATCCCGGAAAGTTGGTTCAACCATTTAGCCAGGCAGCACTGTAAAACTGGTGCGTCACACAATGGTTTGGTGGTAACCTATGGTCCAGTATGGGAGGATTTTTGCTTGTTTTTACGGTCATTCTTAATTCCTTGACTTCCTCATATGTGTGTGTGTGTGTGTGTGTGTGTGTGTGTGTGTGTGTGTGTGTGTGTGTGTGTGTGTGTGTGTGTGTGTATAAAAGATGTTTGGTTCTGGTGATTAATTATTCGCTGTTCTTAAAAGTTGATGTAAAAAAAAAAAGTTTATAAGAAACTTCTTTCAGGTCTTTTTAAGGTGTTCAAGTTCTTCCTTGGCAATCTCGTTCTTAGAGTCCTTTATTCATTTTTCCATATGAGCCCTATCAACTTCAAAGCCTACGTTTTACTTAAGAAACATCAATTATAATAGCAACAGTCTCTACCTTATAACCAGCAGTACAATATAATACAATGTGGCAAGAACAATTAAGGTCATTGTCCCATAATTCACTTTCACCCTTGACTTGCCAGGATGTTAAAAACTTTGAAAGATGTTGAAGTTATTTTGCCAAAATTCTGTAAGTATCACCATGTCATAGGCTGCTTCAAAACTGTTTTAAAACACAGTTTCTGGTAAGTGTGCAATGACCTGCAGGAGCATGATCTGTGAATCTGGAATAAAGTTGTGTAAGCTGGCAAGATCTTCACTTTAGTAAAATCCAATTCTTTCATCAGCCAGTCTACCCAAACCTGGCTGGTGAGCAGGAACATGTCAAAGACATGCTTAAATACAATGCGCATTTCTGCAGGAAAGTGCACCGTACGAAAACTAATTATATATTTGTATGAGTGTGCACAATCTCATCCCTTGAAGTAAGTGGTTTTAGGATTGGCTGTTCAAAAACGGTGGTTTTATACAAAAACTACACAATTCCAGTATTACTGAAATATTCAATTCAGCGCTGCACGGTAACAAGCTAGCTGCACAAACTGTGTGCATGATATTTTTTGTTTTGAGAACTCACTAATGCAGTCAGTGTCAAAAGGACATTGGCACATAGTGTCCATCTGTTGCTTTTACTTGGTACCTTACCGACTTTTCTAATGATAGAAGGGGCGCCGACGCAAACAAAAAATTGTGGTTTGGGGGGAGGGGGGGGAGGGGGATCAGACATTTTGATAAATTTGTTGGCATGCTTCTTCATTTTCTTCATTTACTTGGACCCATCCTTGCTCTCGTCTAGCAAGCTATTTTCTTACATTGTTTAACTTAATTATTATTATTGTTGTTTTTTTTACAGTGATTGGCTGGCTCATAGCAGTTGCTATATTTGGAGCTGAACACACAGACGATTCAGACCGCTTACACTACTCATACGCGCTGGCCGTCTGCGCATGCGGGCTTGGTCTCTTCGGTGGAATCCTCATGTTTATCGGCGGTGGCGGACACAGACATGTACAGACAGTTGTGGTCACGCAGTGAACGTACGGATTTGTTTATGTGACGTATTGTACGTCTTCTTCTTCTTCCTTCTTTTAAAAAAAAAATTATAGTCCATGTCTTGTGGAGTTGTTAGTCATGTCGATCATAAACTTCCTGTCTTGTTTACTTTCAGTCAGTTCTGACACAAGATAATCTTCCATGTCATGATGTCCAGCTGTCAAGAATCTTCTCTGTCGGTCTCAATCTGCCTCTTCCCACCCCCAAAGTTCCAACCGTCACGGTGTACTCCAGTTTGTGTTCTCCTTTCAACCAGCTTCTCGTCTGCCTCTCCCCCCCCCCCCCCCCCCCCGCATTTTCGCTGTCACGGTGCACTCTAGTTTTCACCTTCTTTAAAATTTAGATTGCCCCTTTTGATGCAATCAGTTCTCTTCGGGAGTCAATTTATTTCTAGACATCTTCATTGCTCTTTTTATCTGTTCCATGGTATTCTCATCTTTCATCTCTAAAACCACATCTCTGCCCCTTCTAAATGTGTCACTATTCGTCCAACTGTCCATGATTCACTTCCGTATGTCAAGTAAGAATTATGTAACTCTTAAAATTCACATTCTCTTCTCAATTGCCAAAGAAAGATTGCACAGAATAATCTTAATTTGTTTCTACTAGTTGTGTAATTTGACAGTTTAATATACATTGTGAAATCTGGTTTGTTACAGTCCAGAGTCAACAAGTAGAAACGAAAAGATCAATTGTTTCCTGTAACATCTTACTGTATCTTGTGTAATAATACTCATTATACAGTTTAAATACATGTACCCGCAAGTTTTCGGGATCCCATTTTTAAGGGAAAAATACAAACTGCCTTCTAACAAGCATGTCGTAAAAGGCGACTAATTAGCGTTGGTTCCTTAGAAGTCAGAATACATCTGCATGAGAAGCGAAAACCCAGCAGTATGCATACGAATAGGCTAGATCTGTCTAAGGGATGTGCACGCAAACTCGTTCTGGAACAAGACTGAAGTCTGAAAGGGATGAACAACCAGAACTTTCCGTCAGTTTTCATCCGGTGACCGCTGAGAAGAAGAAGAAGAAATATAAAAAAAGTTTTAAATGATAACGTATTATCTGTGACGCATGTAAATGTGCGTGGATTTATACCGAGGTATGGGGCGTCGCAGGTCGACCCAACCTGAAATGGGTACCAGGATGGATGTCCTGGGAAAGTAAAGACAGCCGGTGTAATGCTGACCACATTACCACCTAGTGCCAATTGGACTGTACAAATATAGGCTGCTCTTCCCATATGCCCGATGGCGGGAAAAGGGATCTTTACTTTACATACTTTTATATAAGTGTAACTGTCATATTGTGATAGCATAAATCATGTCTGTTGTGTGACAGAAAAATGAACGAGTAAGCTGGCTTAAACTGCTTGATTGTGGATGACTTGTATATCAGAACATTTTTTTGTTTAATTGTAAAATGGTTAAAAAAAATAATAATATAAAATATATTTATTTGTAAATGGACCACGGGCTAAAATAGCTAGCAGCAGATATGATCATTCTGTCGACTATCAGTACAGTCCATTATTATTTTGTGTGCATGTGTAATGCCAAACTGTGTTCTTATGTATAATGTACATACATATGCGTGAATGATTGAATTGTACGTACATTGATTTCTATACTATACTTGCCGTGCCTTCTCTAATTATGTCAGTCACAACACAGGTTGGCCTATACTATACCTGCTGAAAGTCAAATGAGATGTTTGTTTTCTTTAGCGAGCTAAAATTAATAAAAATTTGGGATATTCTCATCATTATCATCATTATGTAGAGGTCTGCTGACAGATCACCTGCAGCTGAATCTAACTGGGTATTTTTTGAGAAAATGCGTTCGTAACCTCTAATATATATAATAAACAAATACATATTATTGATTTCCACTCAAAGAAAAGTAGAAAGATTACTTTAGACACCAGTTTGATTTCGCTTTTTTTTTTTTTTTTTTTTTAAAATAATAGGATTCACGTTTCTTAAGCAATATGTAAATTACTTGGACGGTTCGACCCAATCAGCGTCTGTTCTACAGTTTAAAGTCAGCGACATTTTTTTTCTAAAGTCTATTTAATCGTGTGTGGTAGTGGTTTTATAAAAGAATTAGTTACTCTAATTCTTCTTCTTCTTTTGTCAAAATCTGCTTGTGCCGCTAGGCGTCGCAGTCTATCAGATGATCGGCAACCGAGCCAGGGCGCGCTCAGTCGCTTCATATGCCGTGATATAATGAAGTCTCAAGTTGTCCGTGACTCCTTCAATCCATCTTCTTCTTGGTCTTCCCCTGCCTCTTGGTGTTTCGATTTTCATGTTGTATGCTCTTGATGCTGGCATCGTTGGTTCCATTCTCATTAGGTGACCAAACCATTTCATTCTTTGCTTCTCAATAAATTTAACGATGGGTATGGTTCAAATAGTTCTTGTAATCACATCGTTTCTCACTCGATCTCTTCTGGTTTTATTCGCAGCCATTCTCAAACATCTCATTTCACAGGTGGTTAGTCTTCTCTCGTGTTCTTTTGTTAATGTCCAAGTCTAACATTGATAACCTAATGTCGGTATAAAGATTGTATTTATAATTTGTCTTTTTATCTCAGCTGGGACAGCAGGGTGTTTTAAAATTGGGGCAAGCTGGTATGCGACATTGTTGGCCTGTTGGATTCTTGCTTCGATCTCTCTGTCTATTTTACTATTGAATGTAAAGATACTTCCCAAGTATTTAAATTCTTGCACTTTTTTTAGGCTGCGATCTAGAATCTTTATGTCGATGGTCTGTTGCTCTCTGCTTATGCTCATGACTTCTGTCTTTTCAGTATTGATCTTCATATGATGCTTGAGACAACTGTCGTGTAATAGGTTTATGTGGTCTTGCAGCTGTTTACTATCACTGTGGAATATGCATTGATCGTCGGCAAAGAGCAGCTCATTGAAGTCCTCCTGTTTATCGACATCTGTTGGTGTTATGTCTATGTTACTTTAATTATGTATACAATATCAGATCGCTTACATAAAAAACGTGATTTTGTAAAAAGGTGTTTTTTCTTGTCCGTTCAGACATAAAAAACACTTAATGGGGAAATAGATCTTGTACTGCTTTGTTTACCTTCATCATAATGTCATATTTATGGTAACACGACTGATTATGAATTTTAACAATAAAGATATATGAATATTATTTGTCCTTTTTTTGTTTCGTTTAATTAAATGGCCTAGTGAGTGTGTGTGTGTTTTGTGTGTGTGATAGAGAGAACGGGGGGGGGGGGGGGGGGGGCTCTCTTGATGATCCGAAGGTCGTGGTTCAGGTCCAGTTTTTTTAAAATAACTTTGACCTCCCTGTTCGGTCCTCGATTCGGTTTGGTTTGGTTTATATACGAAGAAACAAAAAGCGCATAGCTATCGAAAGGAACATACATGTTCATAATTTTAACAGTCTGCATCTTTGTAACGCATTAAGTGAAATTACTCAATTTACACGTTTTTTCCCCGTCTGGGTCACGATAATTTTAGGCGTACTGCCTTATCCGTTAGTATGGCGTGTAGCCTCCTCTTGCGTGGATCAGTGAAACTTGGCATCTCCTGGGCATGGATGTGGGCCTGTGGAATGAATGCCTAATCTTCCTAGAGTGCCTGGAACAGATCACGATCATTGGCTGGAGCAAACGTCTCGGCGACAAACATGTCTTTGCAGCTCATCCCCAGGTGTTCGATCGGACTCATGTCTGCAGACAGGGAAGGGTTTGAATTTTACTGGCAGCCAGGAACTGCATGGTCAACCGTGCATAATGGGGTCTGGCGTTGTCCTGTTGAAAAAGATATATGTTGGCATCCCAAAACTGAAGGACATGTGGTCGAAGAATTTCATTGGCGTATAGTTGCGAATTAAATCTTCATTCAGTGTACACCAGTTGACTCCTTCCGTTGTAACTGATCATTCCCCACACCATTACACCTCCACAAACGTGCACCAGAGTTTCATAAACATAATTTTGGGCTAAACCTTCAAAAAGGCTATCAGTTTTTCTGCCACAACTTTGGCTCCCACGTCGACCCAGCCTTAAATAGGTGCAATGTAAATCATTTGAAGTAAAGGCGGCCGACTCAAAATATATATCTAGTCCTATATTACCTATTTAGGCGTGGCAAAAAGTTCTTTACTTACTTTATTGTTAAGCATTGCATGAAGTAAAGAAAGCGTATATACTATGTAAAGGTCAGAGTCAATAAGACAAGACAAATGTAAATTCGTGACTGCCTTTTGCTTGTAAAAGACACATACGTAAGGTCCATTGCACGAGGTTTACTAGAAAAAATACTGGAATTGCCACGAAACAGGTTTTCTGCAAGTCGAATCAGAAGAAGCAGCAGCACATTAATGTGGAGCAGAACAAAAAAAAAAAATACGCATAAGGAGGAGAAGGAGATGAAATAGATCATGCAGGATGCGGATATTTTTTTAAATTCTTGGTTTATGGTGTTTTACGAATTTTGTTTTTCTGTAGTATCTCAGTTCCTAAGCTCAATTTTTTCTTAAAAGACTGAACGAGGTTTCATAACTCGTATGGCAGCAGAATAGAAGTTTGGAGCACACACGCAGAGGAAGATTTAAGATGCTAAAATCCTAAATACGACACTTCAGGAGCATTCTATGACCATCAGCCATACATTCCCGGACATCATCACAACATCTTTTCAGATGGATTAGAAACCTTTCAGCTAGAAGACAAAATCTGCTATCTTGCCACCTAATGCCAGGTATTCTTCGTAAGAATTGAATGTGAAAACTGTTCAGTCGCTTCTCTTGAAACGAGTAAGTTGACTAAGTTTTACTACCATAAAGAAGACTGTTGATGACGCACGCTTGGTAAACATTGAGCGAGGAGAGGAGTGGGCCAGAGTTCCAGCAAAAAAGTCTGACCTGTGTAGGGTTATGATCACACTGGGCCGGGTGTGCAGAGAGTGGCCAGAGGGTGCTACAGAGGTT